AAATGAATATTTATATCTAGGTGGCATTCATGTTATCCTTGTTTGAGATTGCAAGCTCCTTGGGGCAGGACCTGCAATGGACATTCTTAGTAAAGTGCCATGTATATGGATGGTGGAATAATAATAATAATAATAATAATAATAATAATAATAATAACTCTCTTAAAAAGACCTGCAGAATGCAAAGCTCATTTGGTCTCCTTCACTTGATACCTGAGGGAGGTAATGGGGGCATCCCATGGCAGGGAGTTCCACAGACCCCGGGATATGAGAGAAGTACAAAGTTTATATATTTGCCTGTACTTCTGGCTGTTTCATTTCATTCATTCATTCATTCATTCAATTTATATATCATCCTTCATCACAAGATCTCAGGGCAGTTCACAGGATAAAATACAAGGGGGGGAACTTAATTTTGTGCTTCTTTTAATTTTTATATGTTGAGGTCTATGGAACTCCCTGCCACAATAACTCAGAGATCTACAGTGTGACTTTTCCCACTGCCACCAATTCCCTAATAATTTTTTGTTATGTGGAGTAATTTATTATATCTGAAGGGGCAAAACGGACTAGTGCAATAGCCCCATCTGGGCCCCTGACAGCAATATTGGGGGTCCCCTAAACCTGCAAAAAAAACCTTTGTTTGAGGTGGTGGAGAGGCAGTCTGCAGTGTCAGCAAGCTCCGACTCTCACTTTGTCCAGAACAAAGTCCAGCAGAGGTTTTGGCCCAGATCTCACAAGCAGGAACACCCCTGTCTGAATCACAAGTCAAGCGTGAGACAGGCAGCAGCCAGTGCCTTTTCTGTGGCACCAGGTGAGAGAAACCAAAAGCCCACAACTAGGGGGACATCTCTCCTTATGGGGCCTCTGGACGCCTTTTGGGTGGTGTCGTGGGCTAAGGAAGGCATTAGCCAGGGTTGCCCTACATCCAGCTGCGGCTGCCCTCTTTTTTGCTCTTCAAGACACGGCCACCCTAAGTTAGTATGTGGGCCACAATGAATAATCCCTGCCTCCTCCTAAATCAGATACATCCATCCAGCCTGGTGCTGAGTCCTCTGTTCACTGCCAACGCCGCCCCCTCCAGCACAGGTACATGATTTCCAGAAACAAATCTGAACGGGTTTGGGGGTTTTTTGCCCCACCACCTTCCTCAGAAAAACTCATTGAATTCAGCCGTCAACAGTGGGGTTTCCCAGGAAAAGTGGCAGGACAAAAAAAGGAGAAAAACTGCTCAGATACGTGCCTGAAAAGCACAGACCTTTGCTTACAAATCAGGGCACAAACGAAAGTGTGGGTGAGCCCTCCAGCTAATAAAATGACTCCTCTAATGCTATAACTCTGCTGTAACTCTGTCACTGATAAAATAATTCTTACCTGGGAAGCACAGACTCTATCCTAATAACTCCCCTCTCACTCTCTATCTAAAGACGAGTCACGAGCTGTCCAGAAAGTAAATCAGTAGTAAAGGGAGTGAGGATCAGTATAAATACAAAATCAATAGCAACGCACACTCATGAGGGATAAACTTAGGGTTGTGAGTTCGAGTCATCCCACGTTGGGCAAAAGATTCCTGCATTGCCGGGGGTCGGACTAGATGAACCGTGTGGTCCCTTTCCAACTATACAATTCTGTTTCATCCAAATCAAGAGTGACCAAAACTACTTTAAACTTCCATTTGACCTTCCTTTTTCTATCCTGATTTTTCACCTACTGAATTGTTTCTTTTTTCCTTCTGGGCTGAGAGGATTTTTCTTTCATGATGCAGCAGTGCCCTCTGGTGGGCAGAGAAGTCAACACTTCTTCATTCTCAGCTGATTTCCCAGAAAAGGCTGAGACCCGCCAGCTGACTCCCTGCCCTGAAAATACCAGTCAGTCAGAGATGATTAGGAGCCCTTCAGCTGTTGCTCAGAGGTTTCCATAACAACAACAGAGCTCCAGTTACAGATAGGTAGCCGTGTTGGTCTGCCATAGTCAAAAATAAAAATAAAAAAATTCCTACCAGTAGCACCTTAAAGACCAACTAAGTTAGTTCTTGGTATGAGCTTTCGTGTGCATGCACACTTCTTCAGATACACTGGCCAGTAGGCGGGTGGTTCAGCTTTTCCTAAATCTGGATCAGGCCCTGTAGTGGGGAACTACAGCTGTTGAATATCTCACAGCCACCTTGCCAGGAAAATTACAAGGTGGCAGCCTAAGTCAGCAGATCTGTACGTTGATTTTCGGCATGCAAAAACTGTCTCACTGCAACACACATTACAAGCAGAACTGAGTTGCACACATGCATTTTAAGAAGTTTTACTGCATTTATCTGCGAGGTAATTGTTTTGTGTAATCTATATCTTATAATGCACACACTTTGAATAAGTGATTTACACATATTTCTAAATATATAAATAAACAACACATCAATTTCCCATAAAACCGCACGCTAAAAACACAAAACGTATGTAAACGTCACAACTTCGGCAATACAGAGAACCAGATGTTAAAAAGTTGCTTGAGGTGCAAACAAAATTTTTCAGGAACTGCTTAAAAGCCGGTGAGGAGTCATCGATAAGAAGCTGCGTTATACAGCGTTACAATTCCCAAAATTCCATGGGAAGAGGGATTCATGGTTAAACCATTCTGGATTTACCAGGACTACAGGAAGCATGGAGAGAGAAGTTTAACACTTTCCTCCTTTCCTGTAGCCCTGAGGAAAATCCAGACAGGTTGAGCAGTCTGGCTCCATCTTTTCAACAGTGCCCCACACTCCCCAGATTATTTTATGGGGTGTGGTGGGATCAGTGAAGCTGTCAGAAGCTCCTCTACAGCTTCTATGCCTAGACCTTCACACACACACACACACACACACACACACACCCCTCAGAATGGCATGCTGCCACACCCCCTGGTTTTAAGGTTGAAGGAGGAAGCCCTCTCTTGTATAACAGTTGTCAATCAATAACCGTCTGGGGAATTTATCGAGCGCCCGGTTTCATATTCGACGAAACTGCTGAGCTGGAGATGTGTGTATAAATATCAGTTTCCTTATTCTAAGGGTTAAATTGGAGACACTTGTGGGCGTGTGAACATCATCTCCTTGTTCTGGAGCAAGCTTGGTATTGCATTTCAAAACAAAGAAACCAGGAAGCAACTTCAGCCTGGTCAGGGGAGATCTGGGAGGTGCCAGTTATTTCCACCACACAATAAATTTGATTTGATTTGATTAAAGCAGCAGAACGTGAAGAGGCAAGGCGCTTCTTACAAGACCTTTCTGGAGGGAAAGGCGAATTTTGATGGACGATCTGAAGGGGGGGAAATGGGATCTCACACACAAGCAATCTGGGAGGCAGTTTCAATGTATACGAAGTCCTCTGTGGGGTCCTCGCCCTCTTGGGGGAACAGAGCAGCTCTGCTCCTCCCAGAATAAAATACCCTGCAGCTGTCAGCTTGTAACTGGGGGGTTGACAGAGGCACCCATTGTGGAAGTGCCAAAGGAACCCCCATGTTTAGCCACACAGCGACCCTGTGAGGCGGACTTCACTGAGAGGTGGAGGCAACTGGCTCCCGATTTCCATAGGACACAGCTTTACATGGTGTTTGGGCCACCTAGCCTCTCCAGATGTTTCAGCCATCAACACCTGGAGGACATCCACAGGTTTCCCACCCCCTGGCCTATCCCACATTCGCTGGGACGGATGAGGAGTTGGGGTCCAAGGTTTCTTACGGAGGGCACGAGGTTGGCAAAGGCTGGAGCGTGCTGCTGCTGCGCCAGCTGCTAACCAGATTCTTGGGCAAAAGATCTTGCTCCATGACCCGTGATCACTTAAGGGGTCACCAGTCCACGAATGCTTCTGTGTCGTAATGCATTTGTCGAAACTGATCGGTAGAAGATGTAACTTGAAAAAAGAGACATTGCACATGTTATGTATTGAAGTTCTCACCCTGGCCACCAGGAGTATTGTGTATGTAGTTTTCACTCAGGTCCGCGTCAGTTATTTTAGGTGGGAATCCTTGGGTTGCTGTTGCTACAATGTTGACAGCCGTCTGCCTATAAAAGCAGGCCAACTGAGCTGTTTGCTGTTCAGTTCTGTCCAGCTTAAAAATAAAGAGCTGCTTTGGAAGAATTGCTGTGTCGTCTGCTATGTCTACCCACTATTCAACAGCACATACTATTCGCAGTACATGTGAAAAGGATCTAGGAGTCTTGGTTGACCACAAACTTGACATGAGCCAACAGTGTGACACGGCAGCTAAAAAGCCAATGCAATCCTGGGCTGCATCAATAGGAGTATAGCATCTAGATCAAGGGAAGTAATAGTGCCACTGTATTCTGCTCTGGTCAGACCTCACCTGGAGTACTGTGTCCAGTTCTGGGCACCACAGTTCAAGAAGGACGCTGACAAACTGGAACGTGTCCAGAGGAGGGCAACCAAAATGGTCAAAGGCCTGGAAACGATGCCTTATGAGGAACGGCTAAGGGAGCTGGGCATGTTTAGCCTGGAGAAGAGGAGGTTAAGGGGTGATATGATAGCCATGTTCAAATATATAAAAGGATGTCACATAGAGGAGGGAGAAAGGTTGTTTTCTGCTGCTCCAGAGAAGCGGACACGGAGCAATGGATCCAAACTACAAGAAAGAAGATTCCACCTAAACATTAGGAAGAACTTCCTGACAGTAAGAGCTGTTCGACAGTGGAATTTGCTGCCAAGGAGTGTGGTGGAGTCTCCTACTTTGGAGGTCTTTAAGCAGAGGCTTGACAACCATATGTCAGGAGGGCTCTGATGGTGTTTCCTGCTTGGCAGGGGGTTGGACTCGATGGCCCTTGTGGTCTCTTCCAACTATGATTCTATGATTCTACTTTTGCAAACCAATAAATCTGTAATAATATGTATGTTAAACATACGGTATAGCTTTGGGGGGGGCGTGGAACGCCCCCTGGTGTTCAAAGGGGAGAGGCTCGTGAATCGCTTATTTGTTCTTGCATGATTTCCTGGAATTAGCTTTTTTTTAAAAAGGGGGTGGGAAGAATGTTATCTCTGTTCCCGTTTCCTCCCTCTGGTGCTCCAAAACCCAGCAATAGGAAAATCAACAGAGAAAGGAGAGCGAAGCAGCTGCAGGGAGCTGCTTTCTTAGCAAGCTCACCCTTATTCTGCAGTGCTTAGATAAGGTAAGAATTGAACAGCTTTGAAAACTGGAGGGTGGCTGGCAGAATCCGAGACCAGGGAGAAGAGTCGGTGGAAGAAGATTGGAAGAAATTTAAAGATTATTTACAGAAACATTGTAAAATTAATGAATGTTAGAAGGATGTTGGAATGAAGCTATGTGGTTTTAGCAGAAATGTTATAAAGGATTAAGTAAAAATAGACTGTTAATTGGTGAAAGGAGGGAAAGTAAAGTTAGATTATATCAAGATAAATTATAGGACAAAAACGGGGAAAGATGGAAAGGATTTGCTGAAATAGGTAACCGAACTAGAATACAAAAAAGGGAGGTGTGAGGAGGTCAAGGAAACAAGCAAATGAAAGATAAGTTATGGGAATGTTCGTTGTGTTTTTATTTGTTTCTATTTTTCTGTGTGTTTTTTCTTTTTCCTTTTTGTTTTTGCTTAATTTGGTGTTTTCTCTTTTTTCTTTTTGTAACCCTTAAAACTTTTCCACCTGGAAATTATAATAATTATTATTATTATTAATAATAATAATAATAATAATAATAAATTTTATTTATACCCCGCCCTCCCCAGCCAAGGCCGGGCTCAGGGCAGCTAACAAGCAATAATAAAAACAAGTTGAATGAATACAACTTAAAATCAAGATTAAAATACAACATTAAAACATTAAAATGCAGCCTCATCACAGGAGGAGAAAGGAAAAAAGAAAGAGGGGGAGGGAATCAAATTGACTCCAAGCCAAAGGCCAGGACTACCACTCCCATCATCCATTTCTCAGGCAGAGGAGGATTAAGAGATGGTGAAAGAGGATTCTCCCAGCGTGGCTCAGATGATTCTTCCCATTTCTAACTTTCCGAAATGAAGGTTTCGTGGCTGCCCGATCCCTTGCCTGAGAAAGAGATGGAGCTTCACACAATGTCCCATCCCCCGCATGCCTCTTTATTTTTATTTTGTTGCAATTGTTCTTATTGATTTTCATATAATATATTTATACATTCTTACAATACAGTGGTACCTTGGGTTAAGTACTTAATTTGTTCCAGAGGTCAGTTCTTAACTTGAAACTCTTCTTAACCTGAAGCACCAGTTTAGCTAATGGGGCCTCCCGCTGCTGCTGCGCCACCAGAGCACAATTCCTGTTCTCATCCTGAAGCAAAGTTCTTAACCCGAGGTAATATTTCTGGGTTAGCAGAGTCTGAAACCTGAAGCGTATTTAACCCGAAGCGTATGTAACCCGAGGTACCACTGTATTAGTAATCTAAAACTCACAGGATTACCACTTCCCTCTAACCCTCTTCTGGTTTTCTTGTTTCCACACTATAATATTTACACACTGATTTGTATCAGCATACTGTTCATATCTATGCATAGTTCTTTCTATAAGCTCATATAGAATGCTCCATCATTTATATGTTGCATGCAGTGAATGTTTTAGTTGGTTTGATTCCATTTGTGAATCACTTCCCATGTAATATCTCCACCCAGTTTCTGTCTAGAGAGATGAAATGCTTCCTTTAAAAGAAATGGGAGGGAGATTGTGGGACTCTGAACAGCAACGGCAGACACTGAGGTGCGAAATGTTGGCGCAGATCTGTTTTCAGGGAGTTTCCTGCTGTTGGAGCCACCGAAGGCCGGCTCTCAAAAAGTGGTTTGCTTGCTTGTTTCAGTCTGGCTGAGCTCAGGGAGAAAATGGCCACTGCTTATGTGTTGCAAAATGGCCGCCCTCTTGGAAGGGACAAAAACCGGGGATGGGAGGGAGGGAAGAAGAGACTCTTAAAAACTCTTAAGACTTTTAGGTCTGGTTAAGATGACTCTTAATTAAGATAAAATGAAAATCGATGGAAGAGAACTTAAGTCCAACTTATGAAAATTAATTTTTATTATAAAAAAGGAAATAAGATGAATAAGATTGTTAAGAGGAGAAATATCAACTTGCTGACATAATCTTGAAACTGGGATGCATGAGGGGGGGTGGGGGGAAGTCAGGGAACAAGGTTATGAAATGGGGATTTGCTGATTTTATACATGTTTTTGTCTTTTGTTTTTTCTTTGTGTATGTTTTGTCTTTATAAAAGCAGAAAACCAAATAAAAATTTTATAAAAAAAAAAAAAAACAAAATGGCCGCCCTCTTGCCATAACAACTTCAAAGTCTGTGTGCTGCACAGAAGCATCTCTCTGGAATATTCCAATAGTCCAGCTGTGGTCAAGAAGCTAGATCTACCCTTGTTGCTGGAGGATTACTTACTTTTGTCTGCTTAGTATTCTTGTAGAACTATACCCCCCCCCATAAAACCGCTATCTAGCATTCCCTCCAAATCATTGAGAGTACAGTGGTACCTTGGGATGCGAACGGGATCCGTTCCGGAGCCCCGTTCGCATCCTGAATAGAATGTAAGATGCCACGGCACATGTGCGTGGGTTGCGTTTTGCCACTTCCGCTCATATGCGTGACGTTATTTTGAGCGTCTGTCAGTGGCGTAGCGTGGGTTGTCAGCACCCGGGGCAAGGCAAGTAATTTGCGCCCCCTAACCCGTGGATTTGCGCCCCCTAACCCGTGGATTTGCGCCCCCTAACCCTAACCCCCAGATGTTGCGCCCGGTGCAGCCGGCCCCCCCTGCACCCCCCCACGCTACGCCACTGGCGTCTGTGCATGTGCGAACGGCGAAACCCGGAAGTAACGTGCTGAAGCACATTCAACCCAAGGTATGACTGTATAATTGTTTATAGACGCATACCTTGACTTTCAGTTATCTCCAGAATGGATTATTACAGATCATTTATTTCATTCCATTTCTGAATTGTTTCCTGTTTAATGTCTAGGAGTGATTCAACAATAAAAGCAACCCCAAGCATATAGTGGTACCTCTGGTTATGAACTTAATTCATTCCAGAGGTCCGTTCTCAACCTGAAACTGTTCTTAACCTAAGATACCACTTTAGCTAATGGGGCCTCCCGCCGCCGCCACGCCGCCGCCACACGATTTCTGTTCTCATCCTGGGGCAAAGTACTTAACCTGAGATGCTACTTCCAAGTTAGCGGAGTCTGTAACCCGAAGTGTTTGTAACCCGAGGTGTTTGTAACCCGAGGTACCACTGTACAATAAAAAAATCCTATATAATCCAAAATAATACTGTACAAACAAGAAAGAAAAACAAAACATACCAAAAAAAGGAAAACAAAATAAAAAACAAGTCAAAAAAGCATACATCTACAAATAAAACCATATCATCATTCTAATCTAATCAATGATTGTAATTTTTGTTATGATTTTGCATTGAAAATAAAATAATTTTTAAAAAAATCCTATATAAAATAATTTAAAATCCAATACAGATATGAACTAGTAATCAATCAAGAGTGGAATACAAAGCAACTAAGGCATAATAATAATAATAATAATAATAATAATAATAATAATAATAATAATAATAATAATAAGCCCTTTCTCATGTTGCCACCCTCCAGACCTCTCGTGCAGGAGGCACACATAGAAGGGCCTCAGAAGATGATCTCAGGGTCTGGGTAGATTCATATGGAAATAAATCTCCTACAAATGTATACATTGGTACCTTGGTTCTCAAACTTAATCTGTTCCAGAAGCCCGTTCCAAAACTAAAGCGTTCCAAAACCAAGGCACACTTTCCCATAGAAAGTAATGCAAAAAGGATTAATCCATTTCAGACTTTTAAAAACAACCCCTAAAACAGCAATTTAACATGAATTTTATTATCTAACGAGACCATTGATCCATAAAATGAAAGCAATAATCAATGTACTACTGTACTATAAAATAATTAAGACAGTATTGTAGATGATAAAAATTAAAATCATAACAAAAATTACAAACATTGATTAGATTAGAATGATGATATGGTTTTATTTGTAGGTGTATGCTTTTTTTTCTTACCTGTACTGGTGACGGTCATTGTTTAGATGGTGGGCTTTTATCCATTTCCGCAGTCACACAATCAATCAATCAATCAGTAGTTGAACTGGGTTCCACACAGTCACAAAAACAAATTAATCAAAAAAGCCTCAAAAACAAAAATGCCAAACTTAATCTGTTCCGGAAGTTGGTTTGACTTCCGAAATGTTCAAAAACCAAGGCACAGCTTCTTGATTGGTGCAGGTGCCCCGCAAACAATAGCCGACAGCTGCATCGGACGTTCAGCTTCTGAAAAACGTTCAAAAACCGAACACTTACTTCCGGGTTTTCGGTGTTTGAGTACCAAGGTACCACTGTGCATGCTTCGTTTGTCATGAGCTAACTTGCAATGTTCTCTCCAGGGAGCAGCGAGGAGGTTACTAAATTTCTCAGTTGCTGACAAAATGAGTGAGAATGTGAAAATCATGGTAATTTTAGGTGAGTCCCTCACAAGATGCTGCATGGACAATTCAGGCAGCTTCTGTTTTATTTTGTTATCTTCAAAACATTTATATTGTAATGGGTTTGATGTGTTTAATTAAAACCTGTGTGTCAGGGGAAACGAAATGGGTATTGTATTATTTATTTAAATTTGTATACTACCCTATACCAGTAGATCTCAGGGCGGTTCACAATATATTAAAAAACACCACAAAACACGCAATAAAAAGAACAAAGACAATCCAATAACTCCCCCCACCCAACACATTTAAAAGGGCACCCAATGCCGAAAGCAGGTGTAAGAACTAATTACTAAGTTATATACACTTCCTGGGTTGTGATTTAGGGTTGTAATCCTAGGGAATCCACAAATAGACTCATTTCCTTGCGAGGTGACAGTCTTGCGGAGCATAAGAGTTTAGGAAGCCCAAAGCCTCATAATGGCTAGGAGTGAATAGAGGCGAAAAGACTAATCCACTTGCAGGGAATTTCCGTGGGGGTAAAAACCATTAGCAAAAGCAAAGGATCCAATGGGAAATAAAGGAATCTCAACTAAATCATCCATGACAGATGGCCTCCCGATCTCTGCTTAAATACCACAGCCTCCCAAGGGAGACCATTCTGCTGTCAAACAGCTATTACTGTCAGAAAGCTTTTCCGTATGGCTAGCTGGAATCTCCTTTCTTGTAACTCGAAGCCATGAGTTCCAGTCCTACCACCCCAGAGAAAACCCCAAGGTGTGGGGAAGCCTGCTTTTAGTAAAAGGTAAAGGGACCCCTAACCTTTAAGTATTAAGTCCAGTTGCGGACAACTGGGGTTGCAGCGCTCATTTCGCTTTACTGGCCAAGGGAGCCAGCATTTGCAGACAGCTTCCGGGTCATGTGGCCAGCATGACTGAGCCACTTCTGGTGAACCAGAGCAGCGCACGGAAACGCCGCTTACCTTCCTGCTGGAATAGTACCTATTTATCTACTTGCACTTTGATGTGCTTTCGAACTGCTAGGTTGGCAGGAGCAGGGACCGAGCAACGGGAGCTCACCCCGTCACGGGGATTCGAACAGCCGACCTTCTGATTGGCAAGCCCTAGGCTCTGTGGTTTAGACCACAGCACCACCCACATCCCTTCTGCTTTTAGTACTTGGTTTCTAAACAGTTTAGGGCTTTGTATGCGAGGACAAACACCTAGCAGTACCCCTGGAGCCCTCTCTCTGAAAGTACCGCCTGCTCTAGAGACCACAGAAACCTACTGGATGCCATCAGCTTCAGGGGAGTTATTTCGCATGCCCCTCAGTCCCCATACCTTCAGCTTGTTAACAGGCCTAATGGGTCAGGGATATATTTAGTTGCAGTGCTTGGTGACCTGCGCTTTCTCTTTGCAGGTTCCACAGTAAAGGGCCTCGGCATCGTAATACCGGCAGCCGTTGTTCCGTGTGTGTGTGCTGCCGCTGTGATGATCACTGTTGCCTGTGTCGCTGAAAGGGTCATCAATAAACCCAGTAAGCCAAGCACCCATGTTTTCATCAGCCCAGTCTATCACAAAGATCCTGTCAGTGGGGTTTTTTAGGGATGGGACAGGCCTGGCAAAAGTGACTTCTGCATACGTTTTCATCGTGCCTCTCGACACCGAAGTTAACAGTGGCACTTTTAGGCCTGAGCAACCCTAGATGCAAGAGGAAACTGACAACACAGTGGTTGGTGCATGTGTGTCGTGCCGGGGAAAAGACTTGGTCTCGTTTACACATGCCAGAGCTGACACTGGGTGAGAAGGACAGGGCTTCACCTTCTTCTCCCGGTATGCCCCACGGAGGACCTTAAGGTCCATAAATAGCAACACCCTAGCGGTCCCGGGCCCTAAGGAAGTTAGATTAGCCTCAACCAGAGCCAGGGCCTTCTCAACACTGGCTCCGGCCTGGTGGAACGCTCTGCCTCATGAGACCGGGGCCCTGCAGGATCTGATTTCTTTCCGCAGGGCCTGTAAGACAGAGTTGTTCCGCCTGGCCTTTGGCTTGGAGCCAATTTGATTCCCTCCCCCTCTTTCTTTTTCCTTTCTCCTCCTGTGATGAGGCTGCATTTTAATATTTTAATGTTTCAATATTTTAATGTTGTATTTTAATCTTATTTTTAAGTTGTATTCATTCAACTTGTTTTTATTATTGCTTGTTAGCTGCCCTAAGCCCGGCCTTGGCTGGGGAGGGCGGGGTATAAATTATTATTATTATTATTATTATTATTATTATTATTATTATTATTAAACACCACCCAGCTTTGCTTCCTAGGTTATCAAAGTTAGGCTGTTGCTGCAGGTGAAAAAAGAGTCGTCTGAAAGCCCCAGCTATAAGTGCAAATTAAAACCAGCTAAAATTTGGTATAGTTTATGTAAGCTAGAGGTGACAGGTGAACACCAGTTCCTGAAAAACCACGGCAGAATGCTCCTATGCTCCCTTCACCTGAAAACGCAACCCCATAGTCTCCTTTGACTGGACTTAACCATCCAGGGGTCCTTTACCTTCTACCTTTACTACCCAGGAAAACAATGGCAAGGACTCCATCTGTGCCCATTTTCATTTGCCCAGTCCCTCTGAGAAAAAGTTTGTTCCCGTAGATTCGTGGGTCCTGAAGAAGTTCCGAGGGGACTTCCTCTCCTAAAACCTGCTTCCTCTTCTAAAACCAGGACTTAATCTCTCCTTGTTTCTCTGCTGTTTCTTTGCAGATAATGAATGAGCATGAAAGAATGAAGCTGAACCCGAGCGAGTTGCTCCTTGTCACATTGTGTGTCTTTGCCCAAGGAAACTAAGCACAAATAAATCATTCAGTTGGATGTATTCCGTGTGACTCGCTTATTTTGCTTATACAACCAATCAGCCGCAATCCAGTGACACACTTTGGCAATACCAGGCTCGGGATTTAATGATCCGAACAGCCCCCATCTGTTTTCCAATGACAATACGTGTCCCTTGATTCGTTTCAAAATGTGTCACACCAGCCTTCTTGCATGGGGGGGGGGGGGCTTCCTGGCTGACCTTAGTCCCACAACCGAAGAGCCCATTTATATGACTGCTTGGATTATAGCGCAATTGTCAGAGCTGGCCTCCAGGTCCCAGCTCACAGAGGACCAACGCTAGCCGGTAGTAATGTACAAAAGTCTTTATTGAAGTACAGTTTCCATTTTCAAGCCGCAGCGCCCCAGCTCTACGTCTAGGGGTTAGATCGGCGAAGCTCCATCTGAGTCTCCGCCCCCTGTACACCAACTTAAGACTCTAACCTTACTCCACCTCTTCCGTCTCTCCTTTCTCCTCTGGGTCCTTCTGCCCCCCGGGGTCTCCTCCTTCCTGGACTCTTCTGACGCTGACCCCCCTGACTCCTCCCCCTCTTTTCGGCGGGCTTTGGGACCTGGCTCCCTCTCCGGGCTGCCTCTGCTCCTGAACCCCTGACAGCAATAAATAAACTGCATATAAACCGCACTTAAAGTTTGGTTTCTTCTCTGCAGGTGACATTAGAGAGGCAAGGAAGGAGTCCAGTTAAGGCTGAAAACGTTTGTCTCCCACAGACAGAAGAGTTATGTATGCTCAGCGCAAAAAATGGGAGACTTCAGCTAGGGTTAAGTAAAAGCAAAGCTGCTGAATCTGTTCATTTATTTGGTCTTTTGCTGCAACGGGGTTCCTACTCCCAGCTGTCAAAGGAAGAGAGACTCTCAAACACGGTAGCATCTTTTTGTTGTTGTTGTTTAGTCGTTTAGTCGTGTCCGACTCTTCGTGACCCCATGGACCAGAGCACGCCAGTCACCTCTATCCTCCACTACCTCCCGCAGTTTGGTCAAACTCATGCTGGTAACCTCAAAAACACTATCCAACCATCTCGTCCTCTGTCGCCCCCTTCTCCTTGTGCCCTCCATCTTTCCCAGCATCAGTGTCTTTTCCAGGGAGTCTTCTCTTCTCATGAGGTGGCCAAAGTACTGGAGCCTCAGCTTCACGATCTGTCCTTCCAGTGAGCACTCAGGTCTGATTTCCTTAAGAATGGATGCATTTGATCTTCTTGCCGTCCATGGGACTCTCAAGAGTCTTCTCCAGCACCATAATTCAAAAGCATCAATTCTTCGGCGATCAGCCTTCTTTATGGTCCAGCTCTCACTTCCATACATCACTACTGGGAAGACCATAGCTTTAACTATACGGACCTTTGTTGGCAAGGTGACCTCTCTACTTCTCAAGATGCTGTCTAGGCCTGTCATTGCCCTTCTCCCAAGAAGCAGGCGTCTTTTAATTTCGTGGCTGCTGTCACCATCTGCAGTGATCATGGCGCCCAAGAAAGTAAAATCTCTCACTGCCTCCATTTCTTCCCCTTCTATTGGCCAGGAGGTGATGGGAGCAGTGGCCATGATCTTCGTTTTTTTGATGTTGAGCTTCAGACCATATTTTGCGCTCTCCTCTTTGTGGTGCAGCTCAAGTACTAAAATGCCTTGGGCCAGTCCTGATTCCTTTGCATGGATTTTATTCGCTGTCAACATTCAACAGCCTTGCCGCCTCTTTGCAAAAGAGGCTTTTGATGGTGCAGCAGTGCCCTCTGCTGTCCAAAAGGGAAATGGCAACTTCTTCGCTCTCACCTGATTTCCCAGAAAAGGCAGGGAGCGTTATATATGGAAAGGAAATCCCCGAAAAGGCCGGCCAACTGCCTCCTGAACCAGCAGCCAATAACTTTGTTTAATTGCTGGCAGCATTTCAAAGCCTGCTTCCGGCCACAAGGGACTCCCCAGAGAGCTAGCCAGTTGTACAGAAAATAAATTCTTACAATATTTGGAGTAGTTAAACGGCTTTCTAAAAAAAATAGCTGCAGCACAGGGCTGTCTGAGCTCCAACCCAAACACAGGGTTGTGGGGGCTGTTTTTAAAGCTGCGGCATAAGCTCAGATGGGTTCTGGGTGGGGAGAGCTCAAAGGCAGATGTGACACGAAAGCAAACTCAGATAAGAAGCTTCATCTCAAGCCAGCTGGTAAAATAATAAGGAAGGGGGAGAAAGAGGCATTTGCTAAAGCCAGGAGACAAAGTCCCGCACCTATTATTATTATTATTATTATTATTATTATTCCCCGCCCATCTGGGTGGGTTTCCCCAGCCACTCTGGGCAGCTTCCAGCACATATAAAAACATCATAAAATGTCAAACATTAAAAGCTTCCCGATACAGGGCTGCCTTCATATGTCTTCTAAAAGTTCTCTTCTGCAGCTCTGGGAAGATTTTCAGCTACAATTCGGAGCCACAGCGTTGAAGGTCTCCCAGAGGGCATCTCGATGCAGGACATACAAAGCATGCTTGTTCTCTCCCACTCTGGAGGGTAGGACTCGAACCCATGGCTTCAAGCTACAAGAAATAAGTTTACGACTAAACATCAGAAAAAACTTTCTGACAGTAAGAGCTCTTTGAACGGGAGGTGGTGGACTCTCCTTCCTTGGGGATTTTTAAGCAGAGGTTGGGTGGCCATCTGTCACGGATGCTTCAGCTGAGATTCCTGCAATGCAGGGGGTTGGACTAGATGACCCCTGCAGGTCCCTTTTCAACTCTACGGTGTTGTAAACAAAATCTGCCCTTTTTCCCTTATGCGGTATCCAAGAGCCCGTATAGAGTCCTTACGTGGGTTCCCTATTGGTAGGAGAAAATAACAGAGGCCAACCAGAGAATATTGAGAAGCAAAGCAGCTAGTAAGCCTGATCTTTATTAAAGTTGTTGCAACAGGGTGCTCCCCTCACACGCAGGAGGACCCAGAACCTAAGTGTGCCTGCCCTTATATAGACATTTTAAATTGCCCGCCCTGGAGTCCAAGACCACCCCCAGAAACATCTTACCTACATCACAGAAGGGGTGTAGCCCAAGACCACCCCCCAGATACATCATACCTACATCAGAGAAAAGGCGGTCTACAACAGAAATCTGAGTGCCTTGATTATCTCCTGCCTGGCAGGTTACCTGTTAATGGTCCCTTGACTGGATTACCTGGGGAGCCTGGCTAGTCTTTTGTAATGATAAATACTTAGTTCCTGAGCCAGGTTATAGGCTCACCCTATTCATACACAGACATACCCTTAAGACAGAATTTGTGAACGAAAAGACAATGGGGAGGCTTTTCCATTTTCCTTCAACCTTGCAGAGAAATATTTGAGGTCAATTTGGGAGGGACAAAATGGTTTCAGGACTTTTTCTGTGGGATTTCAGACATGTGGTTTATATATACAGTTTATGAACATTTATCATATTCATATATATATATATATATATATATATATAACCTTAAAATTTAACAATGGTTCTATGACTCTACAGCTCTCTGCTCTGTGCTTTAAGACCTCCAAGGAGGGGAATTCCAATGTCCCTGTAAATCAGTGGATTCCGTATCAAACCACTCCATCCCCTCAAGACAACATTAAACATTAAAAAAGCACTTCCCCCTACAGGGCTGCCTTCAGATGTCTTCCAATTATTTATCTCCTTGGCTTACGGGTGGTATAACTCCATACCCTCCAACACTTCTCCGATAAAATAGGGACATCCTAAGAAACCTGAAAATCTGGGGCTGTCCCTGGAAAACAGAGACACTTGGAGGGTCTGCTCTGCGTGTGTTAGAGAGAGAAAAAGAGACACACAGAGAAAGAATAATTGAAGCAGCTGTGATTTCTTTTGGGGGTGGGGCCCTGAAGGCAGCTCCTGCCAACTCAGTCCTCCAAAGAACCTAGGAACTGAGCTGTGGTTCCTAGAGAGGCAGGAAGTTTTCCCCATGTGTGGGAGTTGAGGGTAGAATTGCAAGACAATGGTGCCATCGTCTCCCTTCGCATCCCAGGGAAAGGAAGACAGACCAGGTGAGATTCAGGAGGGAGAGAGGGAAGGAAGGAAGGAAGGAAGGAAGGAAGGAAGGAAGGGAAGGAAGGAAGGAAGGAAGGAGGGAGGGAGGGAGGGAGGGAGGGAGGGGTGTGTTTGTGCAGAAAAAGACAAGACCCCCCCCAAAAAAATGAATAAATTGGGAGGACTGGGCGACACTGGAGGGATGGATTGGGAGGGGCAGGAGGGAACGGGGAGAATTTTCCCTTTTTGGAGAGAAAGGGGAAGTCTAACTCCTCTCTTAGACCTCGCAGGTGGCGGGAGGGTCGTGATCTGTGCAATCCGAAAGGGATCCACATATCTGCCACGTTTTCCATTGCACGATCCCCTTTGAAGCAACAGCCCCGTCCCCGCCCATCCCATCATTCATTCGCATGGGGAATATGTGGGTTGGGGGAAAGCAGAGGGTGCCTGGGAATCAGCCCTGCTTGCGAGGTGGGGGGAGAGAGCGAGGTGAAAAAGATCCCCCTCCCCCCAAAAAGACTCCGAGCTCCTCCAGCTGCAAAGGGGGTCTGCCCTCCAAGCCCGGCTCCCGCATTGCATTGTCTTCCTGCCCTCCCTTCGCATTCAGATCTCCCTCCACTAACCCCGGGACAGAAGATGGGAGGACTGCAGAATCATGCCATTGTAGAGTTGGAAGGGACCCCAGAGGGACATCTAGTCCAGCCCCCGCTGTGATGCAAGAATCCCTGCCGGGAGACTTGTTGAAAATACTTGCTTTCCCTCTCCCAGGGATAGGCTGGCTCAGAGCCGCTAGGAAAGAGAGTTCGGATCTGGTGCGCTTTGCACCTAGAATCATAGAATGGTAATAATAATAATAATAATAATAATAATAATAATAATAATAATAATTATTATTATTATTATTATTTATACCCCCGCCCTTCCCGGTTCAGTGCCTGGCGTGCTCTGGTCCATAGGGTCACAAAGAGTTGGACATGACTAAATGACTAAACAACAA